TCATCCGCAGACCGATGGTCAAACCGAAAGGGTGAATCGCGTCATTGAAGATGTTCTTCGCAGCGTCTGCGCTGAGACGCCGAGGCGCTGGAGCGCCATTTTGCCACTCGTAGAGTTTGCTCTAAACAATGCAGTGCATTCGTCTACCGGCTACACGCCGTTCGACATGAACGGGCTGAATCACCCTCGCGTCCCACTGACACCGCCATCCCATGGCTCAGGACTTGGTGAGGGAGGAATAGCCGAACGGCTAGCTGATGTCAGCCCCCTCACCATCCGCAAAGAAGTCGATAACTTCTTTTCTGCCAGACTGAGTGTCCTACGACGCGTTCGCGATGCGATGAAAGCCAAGACCGGCAAAAAAAATATGCAGATGAAAAAGGAAGAGGCGAAGCAGAATGCTTTAAGGTCGTGGACCTGGTTTTATAAAATTATATTTTTGCCTATACATGCAGCCGCTGCTATCTTCCGGGTGGAGCATCGTCCACGGTTTATCGGACAGTTTAAGGTTGTGGCCAAACGGGGCCTAGCGTACACGCTAAACCTTCCGAAACGGATGCGCACCCACCCGGCTTTCTACGTAGGCTTGCTCAAGCCGTACCGGGATCCGGCGCAAGAGAACGCGAAAGCGTTGGCGCCGAAAAGAATCCCACGGGCCCTCGGCCACCCAGAACCTGAACCAGCAACTGGTTCTGAGCAAGGAGTGCACCAACCTCAATTTCCAATGGAGCCAAGCGCCCCACCGTCGCCTGTAGCGACGCATTCGCCTGTTCCACGGCTAGGAGTCGCTCTGACAGAGCGCGGTAGTCTTCAAGGCGAGGCAGCCGGCGCACAAGTTGCTTCAAATCGTCAAGAGCGTCCGCACATCGACATGCTACTTCATCACGACTCTCAGCGGAGCTCCGATCACGAAGGATCTCGTTTTCAAGGGCTCGAAGAGCATCATGAGTCGCCAGACGGCGGTCGAACCGGTCGTCACAGCCCGCCACCGACTCTTCCGGTAGACATCAGTGCCGGCTACTATCACGTGGAACGTCTAGTGAGACGAGGTCGTCATCAGGGTCAAATTCAATATCTGGAGAAGTGGCGGGAATATCTCAACTCCGAAAATTCGTGGGAGTTTGAGGCGCCACTTCGGCAAGATTGCCCAGATGCCGTGGACGCTTTTGATCAGAAATATCAGGCCCCGCGTCATCAGACGTCCGGCGCTCCCCGGCAATAGCCAGGAAAGTAGATGGGCCATGAGCTGAGCTCAAGCAGTGGCTATGAGCTCTTACGGTCGCAGACACGGAGCTCGCGGGAGCGTTAGGGGTTGACCCATACGTCGCAGTGCGACAATTTAAAGGAAATGGATGGCGTGCTTTGAGTTTTGCAAACTCAAATCGAAGGTGGCGCTCCACACGCACGCCCACTTACTTGTGGCTCAACTGTAAGTTTTACAGTGAGAAAATTTTTCCGGTGCCATTGCACCCATCGCTCAAAGAGCGCTTCTGCAACTGTAGCGCTTTCGCCTGGAGCGAGCACTACAGGTCTTGGCCGCATTGCGGGTACACGAGAGCCTCCTCGTTGCGCACGTAGACGAGTGCGATAAGCGTCCAACGAAGTTACTTGTGGAACCAAGAAATGAACTCGAAGAGTTTTTTGTTCGTCAAGCTTGTCTTCCGTAAGGGGCGGGGGCCTGATGATGTGGACGGGTAACGGTCGAGTTACTGCGTCCTTCGCTTCCACAGCGGGATCTGCCGGGCGGAAGCCATAATCCACACGAGGGTCAATGACCGGCCGTTGATGGGCGCGCATCACAGCCGCCTTACGGGCATCTTCCAGCTGTCGCATCTGTGCCCCGTCGAGTCATTGGTGTAATCAGGTGACGAGAAGTCAGGAAACGGACATGGGGCCCCCAAGGCGCGAGCAGGGCTCGTATCACGCCGCTGGCGCGGCTCGCCTTCCTCGTCGCCCCAAAAGGAAAGTCAGACTAGTAGTCGACCACCTCCACATCCTCAACTAGGTCACTCGTCACTGATAGCGTGGGCGGAGCGCGATGCTCGGGCTCATCGAGCCTATGATTTACATCCCTCGATGCCGCGGACGCATTGTCCGACATTGACCCGCGTGCCGGAGACGAAGTTGGGCTCTGCCCGTGTGCGCTGTCAGAACCAGCGAGATTTGGTGACTTCAGTGTCGTTGAAAGAGTTCATGGAGTATGGAATTTGTCTCAACGAACCAAGTTGCAGTGTCTAGCGAACATGCAAGCCTCAATGAGGCAATAATCGATTGGATATGTAAAATGTATCCTAATGGTGGAGAGTATAACGGGGTCACACGTACCCTGGTAACAGGTGTGTGTCACACGAGATGGGCATGGTGTGACTGCACCCAAATAAAAATGCGGTTCGTGGCTAGGTAGCCAGTAGTTATGCATGTAGTTAGATTTTACCATATATATTTAAGAAAACCTATACATTTTAAAATCAGGCGGCTTTGCCGCAGATAAAACAGATTAATACAGTTTGCATTTTAAACAGAAGAGTTGATTAGCCTTGGGTTGTGGTTCTAAGTACTCTTGGAGGTAGCGGATTGCGATCTGCTACATTCTTGTGAAGAACGTAAGGTCGGTGACCTAAATTAAGCTCAAAGCGCAAAGCTACGGAAGACCCGCTGCACCCTGGTGTATTCAACACTTAATTTTTAGCAGACAACACGTCATCCCTATAAGTGTGGTGATCTTCGCCACGTTGCAGTGGAGATATGATCTTGTTCCTCGTCATGCTTTTCTTTGCGATACATGAAGCGCTTACTTTCCATCCTTAGCACCAAGGCGCACCGACAGGAAGCAAAGAAAGCCAAACAGAGCGCGAAGGGTGCAAAAAAATCGCAAAGCTATAGGTACAGATGAAGGTGACATTGAACTCACAGTGCAAGAATTTCGCAAGAAAGATACCGAGCGGACTCAAGTGATTATTGAGGCAGTGCAACAGCCGACACCTCGAGCAAATTTCACACTCTCTGCACTACCTTCAGGCGGCATGTTACTCTTTGGTGAGTATTTTGATGGTGACGTGAATGATTGTTACAATGATACATTCAAGTGGAATCTGGGCGCATAACATTCAGACATAATTGATTTAATCGCATTGAATGAGGCAGAAATGGTCCGAGAGACTGCATGGAAAAGTATAAGCTCACCAAACACGCCACCGCCACGATGTAGTCATCAGTCAGCAGTATACCGAGAGCATTTATACGTTTTTGGAGAGGAATTTGCTACTGCAGACCAATTTCATCACTATCGAGATATATGGCGATTAAATCGTAAGACCAATGCGTGGGAAGAACTTGAAGTGAAAGGGGGAACATCACCTCGAGGTGGACATCGTATGGTGGTCTGGAGGAATCTAATTTGGAGGTTTTCAGCTCGCAAGACCAAGTGGTTTAACGATCTATATCTTTTTAATCTAGTGGAGCTCAAGTGGCAAAAAATACTTTATGCTCCCCATCGACAAGTACCGGCTGAACGAAGTGGTTGTCAATTGGCTGTCCATCCATCAAAAGATCTCATATTTCCTTACGGTGGTTATGCAAACGTTACGAATGCTGGGGAACAAGCCGTAGGCAAAGTGTATTCGGATCTCTAGGCTTTAAACTTGTCTCCAATATTAAAACGACAATCACCAACATGGGAAAAACTTTCGCGAAAAGGTCAAGCACTAAGTCCACGAAGTGGTGCTGCAGTGACAGTACGTACAGCGATTTATTCTATTTGGAGGTGTTTTTGATGAGGAGAAGCGGCGCCATACTATCGAATCAACGTTTACAACGATCTGTTTGTATATGATATGGATCGAAGACGTTGGTTTGAGTTAAATGAACGTGGGAGAAGACGGATGGAAAACGTCGACGAAAGAAGAAAGACAAAATGTTGGAAGATCATGAAAGTGACAGTGAAAAAGAAAAGGTAGAAGAAGACTTTGATGCGATGTTAGAGAAACAGTTTGGGTATGTGGATGACGAGGGAAATATTGTGCACACTGAAGATGCTCATGAAAAAACCAAGGAAGACGAAGAGAAAGATGAGTGTCAATAGTTTGACCAATCAGTTTTAAGTGAAGCTGAAGAGAATAAAGAGGAGGATGAAGAATTTATTGTGGGGGAAAAGAGCAAAATAAAAATGGTCGATGAGTTGAATATTCCAGCCCAATGACCACGCATAAATCCAGCTCTGATGATCCGCGGGAGTACACTTTACGTTTATGGTGTTGTTGTTGAAGATGGTGATCGAGAAATTACTTTGGATGATTGCTGGTCTCTGGATCTAAAGCGACTTGATGAGTGAAAAAAGGTGCTGCCTGGCACAATGTCGCAGTGGAACGAGCGATGGCTATATTGAGTAAAGATGAAGACGATGACGGAAAATTGAAGAAAAGGGCAAAGAGTAAGCAAGTCAAGACGAAGGAAAACCACCGTAAGTCTTTCCTTGCAGAGATGGAAAAGTTGCAGGAGCAATTGGGTCTGGACAATATTGCTCAAACACCACAGATGGGTGAAAATCCTCGTGATTTCTTTGCGCGTACTAACGTGACATGGGCTACAGAAGTGATGAAGCGTCCAAGTACCGTGGAGCATGAACTGAACGCGAAAGAGATTAAACGGGAAGGATTTGTGCTTGCCGAAGCTCGTGATAAGGAGCTGCTGCCAGGTATGAGTGATATAATGTCTCGACATCTTGTTACTAATGTGAATTTGCTTACATGTAGTGCTGGACCGGCTGAACGCGTTGGAACG